TTTGAGTTGATGTGGAGGGAAACACACACACACAGCACCCACCTCTACAGGGGGCCTTTGTCAATGCTGTTTGGATTTAAGTCCTGCAAGCTGCCTTGGGTCAGGCCTGGAGTGAACACGTTGTCAGAGAGTGCAGATGGGCAGGGGAGTCCTCCCCTAGGCCCGGAGCAGGCAGCAGGCCCCTGTGTCCCAGGGCACTCGGCTGCTAAGGTTGGTTTAGGCCCTCAGGAGTCACACAACCAAGTGGGGCCACCAGCAGGCCAGGCCAGAGATCCTAGACAGAGCCCCCTGTGCCCGTGTCTCCTCCAAGCCACGTGCCAGCAGCCGAAGCCATTTAAAGACATGCCTGCCCACCACATGCCAGGCTCTGGGTGGCACAGCGGTTGCTCAAGGGAACTCCCAAGGGCTGGTGGCACTTTTCATCTCTGTTTCCCACTTGGCCACTTTGCATTCATCCGGTGTGGCTCATGGGCACATGCAGGGTGGTGGGCGTGCACGGCAGCCAGCACTGCACTGCCACCCTTCCTGGGATGACCGCCGAGCAAGACCTAGCAGCCAGTAAGTGGGGTGTGTTCTCAGCTGCTCCCTGACCTGTGGGGCCGGTGAGAGGGCAGCCATTCTAACCCCCCAACCCACCCTGGTGCTGCGGGAGGGAGCCCCCACCCACCTAGCCCGGCCCCCACCTCCTCAGAGCAGTCTCACACAGGGGCACTTTTTGAATTTTCCATTTTATTATGAAAACAAGGCAAATGCCCCAGGAGCAGGGTCCGTGATGACCAGAAACATCGAAGAGAACGCTACCATTGTGACTGTGTGTCGGGGCCAGCATTGCAATCCACAAGCTAAAACTACGCACAGCGGACTCGTCAGTAACTGGCAGTACAGGAATCTACTAGGAACGGCACTAAAAAGTTTAAGAAAAGGTACGGCAAACCGCGCATGCACATGGTACAGAAAAGTAACATTTTAAATATAAAACAAAGAAACAAAGGACAAACCCTTCCGGAAGCTGCTGCTATGAAGTGAGCTGCAACAGCTCACCAACAGCACCTGACGAAGCCCCCCACCCCCACCCCAGGACTGCAGGTGGCGTGGGCCAAGCAATGGAAACAACGTATGTTAGTTTTTGTAAGCACGCTCATGGACCGTAGGGGGGTTGGGGGCTCCCTCGACTTGCAGAGGCCCCTTCACACCCTCCCGTACTGGGGACCACCGTGGAACATCCCCACCAGGCCGCTGTCTGCATGAGGGCATTTCTAACTGGCAGCTTATGGGGGTGCAGGGTGCAGAATGAGCAGATAGATCTCCCCACTGCCCCCCTTTTCCACATCCTGGCTGTTAACAGACCCTCTCCCGAAAACAAAAACAAAAAACACCCTGAAATCAGCTTTGCAGCCTGGACAGTCTTAAAAGCAGCTGCTCAGTGGGACCCGAGCCCAGCCCCACAGCTGCAGGGAGCCCGCTGGGCAGGGCAGAGCCCCTGGGCCAAAGCCCGCCCCCCATCTGAGATCCACAGGGAAGACCCCATATCTTGGCGGCAGGTGCTGGAGCTTCAGGCCCTGGCTCTGGGCCCACCTGCCCCCTGCTAATGTCCTCAAAGTCACAATTTGGACAGTCCTTTGTAAAACCTTTAAGACGGGTTACTGTAAAAAAATGGAAAGTTTACAGTCCGTTTATATTTTTATTACAAACAAACAGACGTTTTAACAAACTGGCTCCAGACGCACCAAGTGTCAATGTCCCCAAAGGTGAGGAAATAGGGCCTGTTCTCGGCCCCGCCCTGCTCAGGGCTCAGAAACCAGCAGAGGCTTCCTCATCCAGTGAGCTGCTGGGCACGACCAGCCAGGCCCCATCTGCCCAGAAGTGCCGCCACATCCAGCCCCATCACAGAGACTGCCAGCTCCCTGCCCTCCCCCAAGACACATGGCTGGTGAGGATGTCAGGCTTGGGGGGGTGGGCCCACCTGCTTTGTCACCACTCCTGACCAGCTGGCCCGTCCCCTAGAAGCTGGGGCATGCGCCCACCTTTGCCCGGAAGGCCACCTTGGCACTCTTGGGCCAACCCACCACGCACAGGGCAGAGTCCGGTCCGCAGCCGGGTAGCCCTGCGGCCACCTCTGAGAAACCCAACCCAACCCAACCTTCTGTTAAACTCTGTATATTATTATTACTTTTCTTTACAATAGAAAGTTAAAAATCAAGACTTAGATTTACTATACATTTTTTTCCCTCTCGGATTACAAAGTTTATATTATATAAGGGGGTGTGGATAGGGGCAAGTGGGGAGGGGAGCTCCCTAAATTGTTTTCACTTAGAGCAGTCCTAGAGAGACCAGGCATGAATACAAAAGACCTAACAAACAGTTTTCAAAGGAGAGAGAGAGAGAGATGGTGCCGCAGCCGGGAGTCTTCTACACCTGCCGAGTCTCCAGAGGCCACCAAACACCCACCCACAAAGGGCCCCGCGCCCCCAAGCTGTGACAAGCCGGGGGGCCCAGAGCTGTAGCACCTGCGGGGGAGGGGCCGCCCCCTGCCCGCCCCAAGGCCTGCTTCTTGCGCCCGTCTCTGCGTGAACTGCGTGTCTTCTAAGGTTTGGTTTCCCTTGCTTTTTTTTCTTTTTCCTTTTTTAAAAAATGACCAATGATGTTAATAAATAGTTTCTATATACACGGAGCTGGGAGGGACCTTCCGGAGCGGGCTGCAGCAGCACTAACTGGCTGGGGCACACGGGGCTGGGCTGGCTTGTTGTAGAAAACTGCAGAACCTTACCAAACAAACAAACAAACAAACAAACAAAAGGCTCCTCCTCCGTTACATCTTCTCTCCTTCTCGGGTTTGAGTTGAGGTAAAGGCTTCCGTGTATGGGAACCGGAACCCAGGGAACCGTGGGCACCCTGCCCAGCGCTCCCAATGCCACCCTGCCAGCCCAGCCTCGGCCCTCCACTCCAGCCCTGGGTCTCGCCCCTCCAGAAGAGCGGACAGCAGTGGGCATGGGGCCGGCCAGACACCGCCCGCCTCCCCGCCCGGGCCGCCGGCTCCCAGAAATTCTTCTGGGACAGCAGGCTGGGTCGGGCAGAAGAATGGGGCACTCAGAGCCTGCAGTCCCCCTCACTGTTTCTGCGGCACCAGGCAGCACCGGGAGCTGTCCTCTCCCTGCCACAGGGCTCCGGGTGGGCAGCGGCCCCTCGGGGATGCTGATGCCCACGCACAGGGTCTCTGACCTGTGAACAAAGCCTGGCGGAGCCCGGGACACTGAAGCAAGGAGACCGGCACGCCACAGACAGAGGGGCTCTATTGACCACGGGAGGGGGTGCTGGGGTTGCACGCAGGTCGCGTCTACTCCGAGTCGCTGCTGTCCGAGCTGGACCCGCTGGAACTGCTGCTCCCGGACTCGGAGGAGCTGCTGCTGCTGAGCCGCGCCGGGCCGCCCGAGGGCGCAGGGCCACCTTTCTCTGTGGAGACATGCAGCGCACCCGTGAGAGGTGCCCACATTCCCACCCCCACCCCCTTCGTGAGAGGTGCCCCCCGGGCCCATTACCCACCCCTTGTAAAAGGAGCTCCCCCCCCATCATCCACTCCCTATGAGAAGCGGTCCCCTAGCCCCAATGCCCACCCCACCATGTGAAAGGTCTCCCCCACCCTCCATGACTCACCCCAATTCCACTGCTCCCTGACCACCTGAGAGGTGCCCCCCCCACCAGCAGGGCCGCTATAGGCTCACCCCCCCCAGTGACGTCATCACTATAGAACAGTGCAGGCTGGGCTAAACCAGCAGTGGCTCTCTCATGAACAGCAGGGGTGTCCGCCCGGTGACCCTACAGACAGACCAGAACTGCTCCTTGGGTTCCTGAGACAGCAGCTCTCGGGTCTCCAACGAGGACAGCAAGCCGACCCCACGTTCCCTCCACTTCCCCCCTCATCGACACCGCCGAACAGGTCTGGGCGCCCACCCCCGGCTGCCAGCACACGGACACTCACTCTGAGGTGCCAACACAGCTCCCAGCAGGGTCGCCTGCCCACCCTGCACCCTGACCTCAGCTGCCAACTGCTCTCAGAGCTCTCCCTCACGATGGGGCTAGGCACAGCCCGCCACAAAGCTCAGGCTGGGGCCAGTCCCCTCCACAGCCATCACCCCGCTTGGGGCGGCGGGCAGTGGCATAGCACAGGGGGCAGCCAGCAGGTGGCCAAGCTGGATGCCCATGGGACAGCCAGCAGGGCGGGGTCGGACCCCGTCTCCTGGGCTGACCAGCCAGCCCCACAACACACAGCGGCCCCTCTGCACAAGCCACCGTGGGCAGGGGTGTGGCCCCCGATGACGGAGGAGACCCAGCCTCAGGTGCCAGGACACAATCATCCCCCTCCTGCTGACGGCCGGCCGGTCAGGAGAGAGACGGCCTCCTCCTCCCATAGAGTGGCAGTCCCAGAGACCGTGGGGGCACTTCTACCCTGTGCTATAGGGCCGACTCCATGGCAGGGAATTTGGTTCTGTGTCCCTCCCCCGTAGCCCTGCTCCCAGCAGCCCCCGGCCCGCGGAGCCCCGCCCTCTGGCGGCCCCGCCCCCCGGGCAGCAGCAGGCAGCACCTTTCTTGGCAGGCTTCTTGTTGTTGAGCTGCCCGCTGACGTCCTGTAGCCGCTTCTCCAGCTCCTTCTTCTTCTCCTGCGCCAGCTCCTCTTTCGACTTGGCCGCCTGCTTTTTCCCGCCGGTCGCTGGGGAGGGCAGGGAGCACCAAGGCAGTGGGCAGGCAGGGCAAGCTGCCTGACACGGCTGGGCAGTGCCCCAGCGGTCTTCTCTCCTCCCACCCCCCAAGGACTCCGGGCTTGAGGGTGAGGACCCCTGCCACCATGCCTGCGGGCTCCCCTCTTAGGGTCTCCCCCACCCCTCTGGCCTGGCCTCTGCGACTGGGGGGTCCAGCTTCACCTGACAGCAGGCAGAGGACTCTCCGGGTGACCAGGTATGCAGGGACGAGGGAGGGAGGGGCTCTGTACCCACCCTCTGGGAGCCACATCCTGCTCACTGCCCCTGACAGGGACCCATCTGGAAGACAGCTGCAGGTGGGGTCCCCGGGAAGCCCCTTGAACAGTGCCAGAATGAGGGGGCTGGCGGCCCACTCCTCTGACCAGGAGTGGGACTCAGGCATTAGGAGGGTGGAGGAAGGGGAGGAGGGGCCAGGATGGGGTGGACTGCCTGCTCCCAGGACCCCTCTCCTGCCCAAATCTGGGGGAGGAGAAGCAGTGGGGAGGAGGAGTGGGGGCAGGAGAGGCTTCACACTCACAGAGAGGCTTCCTCTGCTTCCTCTGCAGGCAGGACTTGACGTATCGCTCCAGTTCCCGCAGGGTGGTGGGCTTCAGCGTCTCGAAGTCGATCTCGATCTCGTCGGGGTTGGAGTCCCTGAGTGAGGGCTCCCGGGACTGGATGATGTGCACCACGCGGCCCAGCTTCTCCCCTGGCAGCCGGTTGATGTCCAGGCTCAGCTGCCGCTTCTCGTCGTAGCTCATGGGCAGGCCATCCTCCTCCTCCTCGGAGTCATAGGGGGCCGAGGCCTGCTTGCCACCCTTCTTCGGCTGCCTGCAGCAGGAGACACGCGCAGGGGCACGTCAGAGCGGAGCGCCTGCCCCCCGCCCGGGGCCATCCAGGCTCTCACACCAGGACCTGGGGACAGGAGAGCTCCCAGGGACTCCCCACAGGTCTGCCAGGGAGGGGCCCAGCTGACACGGCTCTGGAGGTCCCAGTGGAGCCTGCCCCCAGGCAGGTGCCCCCACGCAGGGGGTGGAGGCAGGGGACGTGGGGTGTGTCCAGGTCTTGGCCAGGAGACCATTCTAACAGTCAGGTGCTCTCAAACTCCACAGCCCATTCTGACTCCACACAGCAACCAAGACAGACAGACAGACACGTTCAGATTGGATATAAGAAACAAGACCCCACTTACAGGCTGCACTTGAACCCTGTGAAAATCATCACCCAGCTAAGCTACCAGCAAGGGGACCGGGTAGCCCAGTGGTCACAAAAGGGTGCTAACTGCAGGGGACGGGGGAAAGACGAGGCTTTGGTACATGGAACTGTGGATTGTTGTCACAGCTGCAGGAGCCCCCACTACAATGATTCAAATTAACTTTTTAAAAATCAACAAAGATGGAGGAATCTTCTAGGCAACTACTAAAGAAAACAAAGCTGACCGGGATACATGGACATTGGTCAGAACAAGGACCGTTAGCCTGGGAACGAGGGCGCCATGTAGTAAGACCAAGGTCACCTCACCAAGAAGCCGCCTGAGCTCTGAATGTGCAAGCGTGTAGAGATGAGGCTTCCAAATGCACGAAGCAAAAGCCGATAGGACCATCCTCAGGACCACCCTCCGAGGCTCCGAGCTCAGGAGACCGAGGGGGTGCACGCTCCCCTCACAACAACCAAAGCACACACCCTCCCTGCCACCTGCTGGATTGCAGCTCACAGCGACCCCACGTCCTGACCCCAGGGCGGAGCAGGACGGTGCCACAGGCTTCCTCGAGTGCCGTCCGTCCTCCGCTCTCCCCCACGGGCTGCCGGGAGACCTTGGAGTCAGCAGCCCACTGCGCCGCCAGCAGGGCTCTGACGAGGTCAGCAGGGCAGCCTCTGTCCAGAGACACACTTCAGCAGGCAGAGGGAGGACAGGAGAAAAGGGGAGGGGTGTGTGTGTGGGAGGAGATGTCACACATCGGGGGTCGACGTCAGACACAAAGTGGGTTTGGACTGCTGAATGGGGAACCACTTGGCTCTGCAAACTTTCACCCAAGTCACGTGAGTTAAAAAAACAAAGACGAAAGTTAAAAAAACAAAAAGCCCACCTCCTAGAGCCAAAGGAACAACAGAAAAGTCCACACTCATGGTCAGCGACCCCAGCCCTTTCCTCTCTGCAATCCACAAGACCAGGTGGCCAGCAAGGACTCGGGGAGCCAGGGAGCCATCCACAGCTCACTCAGGGGGAGTGGACTCAAGCGAGGTCTACAGCTGGGCGGTCACTGAGCTCGGGTGGAAACCTCCCAGCCAGCAAAACTCCACAGCAGCGGCTCTCAACCTGGGGGTCGAACAACCCTTTCACAGGGGTCACCCGATTCACAGCAGGAGCAAAATGACAGTGATGAAGTAGCAACGAAAGAGGAACGGTCTCAGCGTGAGGAAGGCTGAGAACACTGCTCCACAGCCAGGCCCTCCCTCTGGTAAATTCTACCAGGCATTCAGACGGGACACCAATTCTCGGGCCTCGTGCTGGGGACAGAAAAGGCAGTCTCTGGGCCAGTGTTACACGGACACCCGTGCCCAGCGGGCAGAAGAGGCAGGTCTCAGAGGTGGGGGGCTGCAGGTTTGCTCAGCGGCAGGCTCTGTGAGCCCCCAAAGACAGGGCAGGGCCATGCGGATGGCTGCCTGTCCTTTCCCTGGTAGGCCCGGGTCTTAGCATCAGTGCGAGTGACGTGGAACTGTACCGCGGGGAATGGCCACGTGTGCCAGCCTGCTGCCCATAAGAGCCGTGTCAGCTGCAGAGCGAGCAGGCGGACCATGCATCCACCTTGAAAGAAGAGCTGCACACACTGAACCCCCTCAGTCCAGGGACAGGAAGCCAGGGGAGCAGCAGTGGCGGGGGGCTCTGCAGGCCCCGGGGGAGGGGACCCAGTGCCTTTAGGCAGGAGGCTCGCCTGTGTGGACACTGGGTTTGCTGACCACGGAGCTAGAGCCAGAGGCCTCTGGGCTGAGGCGCGTGAGCAATGGAGTGCCTGCCCACTGGGCAGTTCTGGGCAGTGCTGAGAGAGCTCGGTAACACGGCTAGGCGGGTGGTAGGGCAGAGGCCAAGGGGACCAGAGAGAGGCTGCCGCCTGCAGGCATAACTGAGGAGGGGTGCTCCCAACGGGAAGAACTGTGTTCGGAGCATTTCTGATCCGGAAGAGTCAGTAGCCCGAGACCATCCCTAGTGAACTCTGTAGGTGTGGGTACTGTCCGCGAGTTCCGCGTGAATTACAGGCCCAAGTAAACACAGAGCCCTGGGAGGGATGTCTGCTGTCAGGCTGGGGGCACAGCATGGGTGGGGGCAGGCTTGACATGCCTCGTGATGGGACGCAGTCTTGGGCTGGTGAGCCCAATGCCCGCCCTCCCCCACCCAGTGAGGTCACATGCTCCACAGGAGCAGGTCACCCATTTCTAGTCTCCCAGGGTCTGTCACCTGTGAGCAGTGGGCCAGCATGAGGTGAGACTGGTCAGCAGGTGGCAGAGAGGGAGCACGCCCTGCTGCACTGCGGTCCCCGAGACAAAACTGACTCTACGGGGGAAGCAAGCCCCAGCTTCCTCCCAGAGAGCTGCTGGAGGCTTTGAACTGCTGACTTTTAGAGGAGGGAGGGAGGTGGGAAGGAGGACAGAACCCTACCTCTTCCCAGTGCTTCCCGGCGGACTGACTGACAGTCTCCCACCTGGCAGCCAAGCCCAAACCGCTGAGTGCTCCTACTGCCTGCAACTCCCAGCCCTGGGGCCGGCTCTGCCCAGCCCTCCCTCCATGGCCTACGCGCCTCTCAGCCACAATCCCCAAAGGGGTCCTTCCTTCAATCCTGACGTCACCAATCCACGAGCCCCGGCCACCAGGACAGGGCCACTGCTCTGCTCAGTCCCTGTGAGAGTCCAAATACCTTCATGGAGTGGACTGACCTCGGCAGACTCGACTTGGCACCCCCACCCCGCCCCCCTGTAGGGCAGTCTTCCTCTGGCAGGTCTCCTCTGTCCAGGAGAGCTGCCCCATCTCTGAGCTCCACGCACCTGGCTGACCTCACCATGTAATTACTGCCTGTTCCCGGCAGGCGTTCCTCAGACACACAGTGCAGGGACACACAGCTGGGTCTGTGCCAAGACGCCATCTTCCACTGCCTGACCCTCTGCCTACTGCGTGGGCCAGGGGAGGTGTGCCCAAGGCCCTAGCATCCCAGAGACAAACCCTCAAGCCCAGAGGCTACGGGACTGCTTCGATGCCTCTGACCTCAGCCAGCCACCACCAGCAGAGCCCCCACCTTCCTGGAAGACGTCTCCCGTGGTCCTCGTGGTGGCCCTGCAGGGTGGGCTGGGAAGGGCACTGCACCCCACACTGACACCACAAAAAACAGCCCAGCCTCCACATCACCCGCAGGAGGGCGGGGCTGGTACCCACTCCCCCCTGGCACCCGCGCCATCTGCGCCCACCTGGTGGCCGGCGTGGTGCTGTTGGCCTTCTTGATAGGGGCCTTCTTCTGCTGGGCCTGCTTGGTGGGCAGACCCGCCCGGGCCTTCTTCTCGTCCTCGGCCTTGGCCTTGTGCTTGTCCTTGTCCCGCTTCTTCTCCTTCTTCTCCTTCTTCTTCTTTGGTTTGTTCACGGGGGCCTGAGACAGGGCGGCCAGCTGCTCGTGGACAGCCTTCAGCTGGACGAGAGGAGCACGTGCCCGGGAGGTTGAGTGGCCACGGCCAGGCTTGGGGCCCCACCTCGCCCGGAGCCCCCGGCTCATGTCAAAGATCAGGTTGGCGACCCCAGGGCCGGGTGGGAGCCAACTGACAGCAGCCCGGCTTCCTGGCGCCCGAGGGGGAGGTCCGGCGGCTGCATGGCCACACACATCAGGTGCCCAGCAATGACACTGGGGCAGGGGACATGGCTACCACAGGGCAGCTCTTCCATGCAGCAGCTGAGATGCACGCGGTACCCACCAGGGCCCTGTGTGTCCTGATCCTCCCGCCTGGTCTCTGGAGGAGCCCATAGGTGCAGGCCAACAGTCCCTGCGAATCTCTGTGGTCTCAATGCGGTCCCAGTGGGCAGGCGGGAGGACAGAGACTGGTGCCCGGGTGCCCCATGTCCAGGCTGGCAGGGGAGACCCGCCCAACCCGAGGCTGTCTTTCCATGCTGTCCCTCCCAGTCTGTGTCCCAGCGAGCTCTAGGGGCCCCGGCCAGAAGGTCCAGGCCACTGTGGGGACTTCGGGGCCTCCCGGGACTGCCCTTCCACCTGACTCTACTGCACCCCCCCTCCCTCACCCACTCGGGGACCCAGAAATGGGATCTCACTAGCTGCCGGGTGCCTGGGGGTTCAGGCCTCGCTTCTCTCAGTTCTGCACCCCGAGTCTAAGGAGCCAGTTAATGAAGGAGAGGGGAGAGAGACGGAGGTGTAACTATGGGTGAAGATGGGCCAGTCACCTCGAGACCAGAGGCCCTCCACCCAGACGGGACACAGCCAGCACCTGCACCACAGCTCCCTGGGGGCCTCCCCAGCCAGGCTCCTCGGTGCAGGCTGGCAGGTCCCCAAGGGCCAGTGCCGAGAGTGCAAGACTCCTGGCTCCGTGGTTCCCGAAGGCCTGGGAGTGGGGGGAGCGGCCCCGCAGCCGAGCCCAGCCGCACCTGCTCCTGCAGCTCTGCCAGCCTGGTGGCGCGCTCCTCCTCCGAGTCGGAGCTGCCGGAGTCCGATGAGCTCTCCTCGCTGCTGCGGCTGCTCTCGGCGCCCTTGCTCACCGCAGGCGCGGCGGGGGCGGGGGGCGCAGGGGCCTCCGCGGGCTCGTCAGGCATCTTGGCGAACCGCATCTCAAACACGTCCTGTGGGGGACAGGGGAACCTGAGAGCCTAGGCAGCCCCCAGCCCCAGGGGTCTGGCACAGCATGAGAGCACAACTTGGCGCACCCAGGGGTGGGCAATTCTCCCACCCCGAATGCCTGGAACCCACCACATGGAGGGCTGGGGCACAGGAGCCCAAGTTCCTGTCCAGAGCCAACAGTGCTCAGCTGTCAAGACCCCGGGGCGCCTGACACCCTGCAGCTTTACTTGCGCCCACTCCCTGGGAGCCTGGGGCTCAGGCGGCCCCCCCAGCCCTGCTCCCACCCCACACTGCACACCAAGATCTGCCGTTGCCTGCAGCAAGCCTCCTTCTCTTTGTTTCTTTCCCCTCCTTGTTCGTCAACGTCGCGCCCGACACCCTGCAGCTTTACTTGCGCCCACTCCCTGGGAGCCTGGGGCTCAGGCGGCCCCCCCAGCCCTGCTCCCACCCCACACTGCACACCAAGACCTTGCACCCTTCGCCAGGAGAGGGTGTGGCCTCCTTGCGTTGGACAAGGCTAAGGGCGCCATTGTTCTAGGAGTGAGTGGTCGCTTCTGGTCTCTGTGCCCCAGCTCACGTCCCACCCTAGGCGACACCCCCAGGCTCTGTCACTCTGACCGGCGGGGGAGCCCAGACACCAGGGACCGAAGCCGCCATCTCCAGGGGACGTACGTCTCCTGTGTGCCAGCCGGGAGATGGGTCCCCAACCTGCCTTTCAGCAGAGACCCCTGCCCAGGCAGGACGAGCACCCCAGCGTTGACATGACAGGGTGACCCCACGACGGCGCTCCAGACTCTGACCCATGGGGTGACGCACGCAGGGCCCAACCCAAAGGGGCAGGGGACCCCCACCCCCACTATGCTGTCCTCCCTGAACTGCTTCCGGTAGCCAGCGTGGCCTCGGCCTGTCCAGAACCCCTTCCCTTCACCCGGGATCAGCTAGGGCCAGGCCTGCCCTTCCTGCGGGGCCACAGCACCCGGGAGAGGACCTAGGACCAGTGTGCACAGCACCCAGGGTCTGGGCAGGAAGCTGTGGTCGGCAGCCTCACGGGTGGCCCCCCTGGGCCTAGGCGAGGCCTTTGTGGAGCGTGCTGGCAAGGGGTGGGTGAGCAGAGAGGCTGGCAGGACCCCGGCGTGTGAAGGCCGCTCCTCTCACTGCCCGATCCGCCCCCACAGCCGGTCTCCCCACCATCATGACCAAGGGCTCTGCAGCATCCCGTGAGCGGCCGGCTCGCCCGGCTGGAGGTCTCATGCTGGCCATTACCTGCAGCTTTCGGGCCATGGCCACCACCTCGTGGTCCGGGGGGTTGTACTTGTAGCAGTTGGAGAACATTAGCCGGATGTCGGCTGCAAATCCCTGTGCGTCTGGGTATTCCCGACTGTCCATCTTCTTCTGTAAGATACCACGGGGGCCATCAGGGCCAGGCCAGCCTCTCGGGGCCCTGGGTGCTCAAGCCCACCGCCGCCATGCCAGAGTGAGCGCCAGGGATGCCGGGGAGGGCCCCTAGCAGGGCTTGCCCAAAGCGTCTGTGTGTACACACTGGGCAGTTTTGCACACTCGGACTCGGGAAGGGCCCAGGGCCACCTTCTGGGGAACAAGGCTCCACTACCAACTTGAATGGGGCGGGGGATGGGGCTTGAGTGTCCAGTGTGAGGTAACCAGAGAGAGGCTGGGTGGACCCCCACTCAGGGCACCTTGAAAAGGGGCCGACAATCGGCCCTGGTGCAGTCCTGCGGGGCACCCATGGGGTGGCCGGCGTCAGAGCCCACTGCGCGGCAGCTGGGGCCCACAGGACACTCCGGGTGCGGCTTCCCCAGCAAGTTTCACCTCTCTATCGCCAGCCCTGCTGGTGCTGCGCCGCCCACGGCAAGGTGGGTGGTTCACACCCACCAGCGGCTCAGAGGGAGGGTGAGGAGGCTGCCTGCTCCCGTAAGGATGTACAGCTCCAGGGTCTACGGGACCCTGTGCCCGAGCCCGCCGGAAGCAGCCGGCTCCCATCACCAGCCTGCTGCCCCCAGGAGCACCCGAAGGCCCAGAGGCAGGTCCCAAGCCGAGAAAGGGGTCGGAAGGCAGAGTGAGCTGGGACCAGCACCAGCCCTCAGCTGCAAAGACCAGACTGGAGGGGGTGAGGGGAGCAGTTAACGCATCACTCGGGCCCCTGACCTTTCCCCTCCGCAGCCACCTTAGAGCCTGGGGCCCCCAGACGATGGGCCTGGACAACAGGTCAGGGAGACACAGAGCTGGGCCCTCCCAGTTCCCCAGGACAGCATCTTCCTGCAGCTGAGGTACCCGTGCCCCCAGGCTGGCGGACAGCCAAGCGCTTTAACCAGTGCGTCACCCTGGCTCCCGGCTCTGCTGATTCAAATCCAAACCCACTGCTGTCTGTCCTGGGGATCCGGGCTCACAGCGACCCCGCAGGACTGCACAGACCTGCCCCATGGGGTGCTGAGGCTGTCCGTCTTCCCGAGAGCAGGCTGCCTCACCAGAGGCCCGACCCTGAGGCCGCAGTGCCCCCCACCCCTGGGGCAGCGTGCTAGGCTCGGCAGCACGGCGTGTTGTCTGGCTGCCAGCCGTTCTGGCTCAGGACAGCCCTGGGGGTGCAGGAGCGGCAGGCGGAGGCCCCCCTGGTCCCCTGGCGCATGCACCTTGACAGTGCTGAGGTCCATGGGGTGCTTGATGATGTCGTGGTAGTCGTGCAGCTCCAGGGCCTCGGCGTCCACGGGCTTGTAGAAGGGCCAGGCGTAGGCCGCGTGCTTCTTGGACAGCATCTCCTTGAGGACGCTGTCGCAGTAGCGCAGGTGCTCCGACAGCCGGCCCTTCTTGCCCGCGTGCTGCGGCACCTCGCCCTCCTCCAGGTCCTTCCGCGGCGGCTTGATGGGGCGGC